GTACCCAGCGCGGGCGGGGGGGCCGGCGGGCAGCAGTGTTCCCCCGGGCTGCCAAAAAGTAGCTTAAAAAAAAAGAAAACCCAAAACCCAACAAAACAAAACCAAAAACAAACACCCACAGTAACTACAGCACCGGACTCGATGGTTATTGAAACTTTGTGCTAACTCCGAACACCGCATCCCGTGGGAAGACAACAACAGCAGGAGGCGAGCCGGGGCAGTACAGTAAATAAAAAGCGAAAGAGGGAGCCGAGCGCCTTCGCTCCCCGGTCTCGGGGGCGAGAATTTAAAAAAAAAAAAAAAAAATTAGGCCGGCCGGTCCCGGATTTCCACGGGACGGACGGATTATACAACGCTACCAGCGACAGAGGAGGGCAGGGAGGCAGAGCGGCGGGGAGGGCAGGGTGCCGGTGCCCAAAGCCAGCACGCCCCGGCACGGGGATGCGCTCAGGCAGAGGGAGAAATGCCCGAAAACCAGGGCCTCCCCGCCCAGCCAGCTGCTGCCCCTCTCCTCCCCGCCGCCGCTCCCCACCCCCCTGGCCCTCCCTCACCACGGCCACAACTGTCTGTATTATTTTTTTTTTTAATCCGTGTAGAGAAAATAAGCGCCCAGAAAAGGAGAAACACTAGGAAAGCTCTCGCTTCCTACCTGGGCAGGGTTCAGCTCAGTTCAGTGCGTGCCGAGGAGGAGGGGGCAGAGGAGCACTATCTAAAACAAAAGTGGCGCCAAAACCCCCCAGTAAGAAGCATTCTTCCTCCTCCTCCTCCTCCCCTCCTCCCCAACCAGGGCCGGCGAGAGCCCAGCGGGGTTCCTGCAACACGCGGCTCCCGGCATCGGGCGTCCCCGGCACAAGTTGGCAAGCGCCCTTTCTTTACAAGAAGAAAAAAAAAAAAAAAATAAAGCAAGCTGAACGGAAACTGCCACAACTCTTCCTCTTAGCGGGCAGCCGCCGAAGAGCTCGCCCAAAGTCACTCGGGGGGGAAAACTCGCCCCACAAAGGCCTTC